GGCGGCCCCGCCATTTTTAAAAGCCGGCTAGTGCGAACCCCAGTGCTTCTAATCCGAACTATCTGTACACCTCGTGAAACGGGGTTCGCACTAGCCGGCTTTTAAAAATGGCGGCGCCGGCTTTATGCTAATGAAGCACGGGAAATTCAAATCCCGGGCTTCATTAGCAAGTTCGGTATGCATACATTACCCCGTTAGTTCGAACTCACGGGGTAGTGTAGACATACCCTGAGGGAAGTGAGGTGTGGGAGAATAAAACTGAGCTCTGGAGAAATGTTTGGCTAGAGTTTCCCCTACAATATGTACCAGTTCCGACTTACATACAAATTCAATTTATGAACAAACCTACAGTCCCTATCTTGTACGTAATCCGGGGACTGCCTGTACTACTTGTGCCCCTGAATGCAAGGAACAATGTTTGTGGCTTTACAAATATATTTTCCATTTAAAACATCTTCCCCCCACAATACACTTGCCAATGTTCTTCGAAAGACAAACAACATACTGTACAAGGGGAACAGTGAAATTGACTATTCTTAATGTGTCACCAAATATACAAAATAAACTAACCCCCCTAACAATAGATACTGATTTCTCTGCCCTCCTCCACTTACAGTAGCCTTAAGTGACTTGTAACAGTGGCAGGTGAAGGATTTTCAGTTAGAAGTGCAATTTTGAAGAGACAATGTCCTTTTAAGAACTATTGTAAAGGTAATTTTTGTTCATCTGATTATCAGGTTTCCACCAACTACACTGTTTCAGCTGCTCCGCATATAGTGAAGACGCAGCATATATTATAGAAATCCTGTTCTGCTGACAGGGAAGAGGTAACTGCAGCAGTATAAGGAAATGTTACCTTTTACTTTCAGGTTCATTGGGTACATGATCTGCTTTGACTGTCCTCTTTCGTTCCTTCTGGACTGATGGGTTGAGGAATCTGCTGCTAACAAAAGGAGTAACATCTATCATATGGTTTCAAGTGAATCAAAGGTCATGGATGACTTTATATAATAAGCCGGGACTGATGCTAGAGAGCTTCACTTCTACAAAGTTCAGGAAGAACTTTCTGTCCAGCTTTGACTTCCTGCTAATCACTGGGTGCTTAGTTCCCAACACTTTGGGTCCAGGGGCAATTTTTCCTCTCTCTCATTAGGCATTTTGGTAGCCCACATTGCCATAATGAGTATCTCACAATGATTGTGTTTCTCAACACACCTCTACAAAGCAGGGCAGTGCTTAACCCCATTGTACAGATAAGGCACTAAGGCACAGAGGATTTCACCAGTGTCACTCAGGAAGCCTATGGCAAAGCAGAGAATTGAACTTGGTCTGCTGAGTGTCAGACTAATACCCTAACCATTGATTATCTCTTCTTCTTTTTCACAACAGAAACATCTTCATGAAAAAGAAATCTCATGAATGCATGCCTGCAGTAGTTACGGTCCCCATCCTTTTGAGATCATACGAACCACTCCCCTTCCCCTTTGTGATTGTGTGCATCACCTGCCATTGTTTGGGGCAAATCAATGCACAGGGTTTTGATGCAGGATGACAGGAGGCTAATATTCTGGAAAAAGACAAGTATAGGAAAGGCAAGCAAGAGGCTAGAGTAAGAAAGACCTCGAAGTGGAGAGGGCTTAGGGTGGGATTTTCAAATGAGCACAGCCTTGCCCTATATCTGAACCCACTGAAGTCAATGGCAGAGAAGAATTTAAATCATTTTTGTCAAGCGGCTCCCAATCATAGCTATGTCTTCATGCCAAAAAGCTGTGTTTTTACACCAAGACAGCTAGCTCAACATGAAGACCCCAACCCTGCTAGTGACTCATGGGGGAGTCAATATGGTTCCATGAGACAAAATTTCTGCTTTTTCTATTAAGTTCTTCAAAACTTAGAAAATTACACCCAAAAAACTATGCTAAATGGTCATTAAGGTTGCAAAACCAAGTCATCAAAAGTTAGGAAATGTCAGGATTCAGGTTGCCTGTGCAGCGCTAGGTCAGCATCCTTGTGTGTGTGGATTAACATAGAACATTAGTAACATGATCACATTCTATCTTTTCCACAAGACCCCTGCCTCATTCAGTGCACAGGACAGAGATCAACAGTTATGACTCCTGGTTCACCAGAATCCTATTTGCTCCCAACCCAGAGCATGAAGAGTCAGAATGCCTTTTGGAGGCAGAGGAGAACTAGGCGTAGAGATGTTGCAGGGAAGAACTCTAGGAACAAGCAAGGGTCCAGAGAAAGAATAGGCTGAGAAGTAAATATGGTCATTACTTCAGTTAACAATAAAAGCAAACCCAAGGGAGAGGGCCGAATTCAGACATTAAGGTACTGTGTGCCTGGTGTTCTGAGACCAGGGTGAGCCTGTTCATGAGCACTGAGGCCACTCATCCATGCTGAATTCAGTGGTGCCAGATTTAGCCCTAATAGAGCACTTTATAGCTCCTGTCAACTGATAATGAACGAATTTTTACAGTATCCCCGTGAGATAACAGATGGCTATATTCCACAGTGTAAGCACATTTACAAATGCTCTAGACAGAGAGATTTTCCATCAACAGAGTGGCAAGCTGAGACCAGGCGACTGATTTGCTCAAAGCCACACAGAAAATCCAAGACAGAACTGGAGTTAGAAACCCAGACCCTGGTGTTCCTGGGCTCAGTCCACTGAGCCACACATAAATAGCACATTCTTTTCCATGCCTACTGATAGCGATAGGAGAGTTCAGAATTTGCTGACCTTGCATTCTAGAAGTTCCTCTGACTGGTCTGGGGGTTCCCTCCCTGTACCAGCGATTCACCTGATAGTAGGAGAACAGTTTCAGGGCAATGATGATATACACAAACATGGTCAGCAACCCTCCAGCTAAGAAACAAGAGAGAAAATAACCTGTTGTGGTAGTTCCAGGTTCAGTTTATTTTTTCTTCCCAAACACACAAGCTTGGTATCATGATGCTATCTTTGCTAATTAACAAAGGAAATCAGTCTGTCTGTGCAGCCTGCCTACCACATCTATAAAACAGATGCGCAAACTAATCCCTTGTCATTACAATGAGGTGCCCAGTGACATTTGGCTGCTCAAATGGTCTTTAACATGATATACACCTTGGGACCAATTTCCTGCAGGCACCAACTTCGGAAGAGGGCCCTTGCAGCAGAGATACTGCCCAGAGAGGCTGTCACAGAGCCGACAAGAACCAATGCAGTCCCAGAGGTGGACAGCCCTTGGCCAGGGTAAGGGCACAGCAAGTCACCCAAGAGATGTACTGACTCTGCATGTCTCTACTGAAGCCTCGGTCAGAGAGTCTACGTTAGACTCCTATAGAGTAAAACTGCTGGATGCAGCAGTGGACACCTGGCTAGCTCTCCCCCACAGTGAATCTCCCCCTACAGCAAAACGGGCCTTGCTCCTACAGAGGAGCACTGTGTGAACTTCACTGCCCCAGGAGGGTGATTCAGGCAAAACTGAGAATCAGGAGGTTGGTAATAGAAGTGAGCACTGAAGAGAAAGCATCTGTCAGCATGTTCCACACCTGGATACAAGAGATACCATAGGCTCTCTCTAGATTTAGTATAGGAAATAACCGTGGAGCCTGTGACTTTGTAATGGCAAACGATGTAAGTAGTTAAAATCATAAAGCATAGCAGAGACAGTCTCTTTAAATATGGCTTCCTTCTGTCCTGGTAATGCAGCCATATAGTATAGTTAATTAGATGACGGTGTTTCACTGTTCAACTGCACACCGCAAAACTAAGTGATACTCCAAATGAAGGAAGTACCATTTTGAAAGAGCTTTAGGTACTGTCATTCATCATTTTCATGCGACTGAATTAACACTGTCCCCCACCTCACGCATTTACCCTCAAAAATGTGAATACAAATATTTTTTATTGGGTGCATTATTAAACAGAGCATGCAAGACTTGAAAGTGTCTTAGAATACTAATAATGTTGGGAGTGACAAGTAGCCATACACTTTTGCTGTGACACCTGGAGTTTCCAATGATTTACTATTTGTTTCAGTAGATGGAGCTATTGCTATTGCAGTACTAAACGTGCCCAATATGTTCAAAGAAAAAAGCCCTTTTTCTGCTTAGTTATTTATCGAAAGCTCCTCCCACTAAACCCAGGTAAGTGATGAACAATATGATGGTTTAGTAAATTGATTAACCTACTATGTACATTCAGTGCGAGTTTCAGAACACTAGGTTCACCAGTGGGCACACATGTAGCATGTGTAATTATCACGTATATACGCATGCAAACTTGGTGACTGCAAACTCAAATGACTAGCTGTACATTTAACTGGTCATTTGTACCACAGATTAGGTTCACATTTTTGTATTTGCATTTGGAGACCGCTGGAGCCCAGACATTGGCCTTTATGTAATTCTTTCCTATGTGCACGTAATCAGCATCTTTTCACTTGATAATCAGCCATCTTCTTCAACCAGATTCCTTCACTGAAGTCACAATCCAGTGTTTTAAAACATCATAGGTCACTAGAATGTAAGTGACCAGGTGCCAGACTGAGACACTGAAAGATACATTTGCCAGACATGCAGCTATACTAGGAAAAGGAATATAAACACGTATACAAACACAAAATATAAGTTTCCTACAATATATTTGTAAATGTTTACTTGTGGGTGCAGTGCTTTACATTAGAATTTGGGACACAAGGCCTAATAATCTATTGTACAAGCATCGATTTATTATAGGAGGCTATAAACCAACAAAAGTTTCTGTTAACACCATAAACTTTCAGAGAGGAGAACTGGAACTACCCCCGCTGCAGCTCTGTATTTAAAGTGTATTAGGAGCCAGGTGGGCAGGCAGCACAACTCAATTCCAGCTCGCACTGGGTCTGGGAGCTCAGACCACCACCTAGACAGGGGCTGCTGCCACCCCACACAGCTGCTTCTTTATCAGAGGCAGCAGCACAGGACGACAGGCAGGCGGTCCACAAGGGGAGTTGGTTTTTAAACTGGCTCCCCTCACGGACCAGCTGCAACCTGGCACCCCACGCTGCTGTCTGATACAGAGGCAGCAGCGCGGAGTGGCAGAGGTCTTCTAGGGAGTGAAGCTGGAGTGCACTGGCTGCTGGCCCTGCCCCTAGGTACTACAGAATAGTTGAGTAATCAATAAGAATTCATGAGGTTATTCGACTGTTCAATTAACCGATATTTAACATCCCTTCTCTTGGTATGCAGACTTATTACAACTGTCTCTGATGGAAGCCACACACATATACAAAGGAGGCCAAGGAACAGAACAGTTGAACCAGAAGGACAGAATTGTCTCTTCATATTCTGCATGCCATGCAAGTCAGATGAGCATGCATGTACATCACTAATAGAACTTTGAGATGTCAGCCAGAATTTTAATGCTTGTTCTGTGGAGCTGTTCAGAGACCACAATACTGAAATAATAAGACTGACCAATAAAAATGTAAGTACTTTTTCATTTGAATTTTAAAATCAATATATTATGGCCAGCAGCCCTTTCTTTCTCCTCCCATCTGAAGACAAACACATGTGGTCTGTGACAAACTTCATATTACACGATAGTACTGGCCATAAATGGGTACTACATCTCTAGCCCAAAACAAAAGCCTCTCACCTGGAGTTATGGCTTGCATTCTATAAACCATGACAGCTGGGAATGTTACCAATAAAAACAGGTTAAGTGATTGCAACACCAAACCGATGCTTTCAGAGCCACGAACCTACAAAGGATAATAATGTTATATAAAATTCAGTGATTCTCTGGCCTTTTTGCTAATGTGCTTTCTAAATCAGGGTGATTCTGGTGAATTTATTGCTTGACAGAAAAGAAAACTAGGCACATCGCAAGCTTCCTCCATTTATCTCTAACAAAGGTCAATAAACCTAGCCTCTTAACATGTATTTCAACTCCAGCCTCGGACTCACACACTGCTAGTTCTGCCAACTGTGCAGTATTTGGGGGCTCATAAAAATTAGATAGATGAGGCCACATAATTCATTTTACTGGAGACCAAATCTTTAAATTTGACTCAATCTCTGAAGTTAAAAAATGAGTGCTGCTTTGCTCCAATCCTCACGTCCTTTACAATCAATAATGGCTTACAGGTATTTCACTTCTCCTGCTTGGCCCGTAACAAGAAGTGTTCAATCAGAAATATCACCCATTACAGAGAGCAAGCACAATGCATAGGAAACCACCAGTTCACCTACCTTTCTTAAATACCTTTCTATAAAAACTGCAGGAAGTGCAAACAAAACAGAGGCTGAAAGAAAGGAAAATAATAAAACATCAGGAAATAAATCAGCATCAAACACATCTATGGTAAGTACACGCCCGGATTGGTCTCAACTAGTCAGCAGAGATCTATTCTACTAGCACTTCTCTGGAGAGCTATGTTTCAGCAGAATGGAAATTTTCATTTTTATGAATATGCTGTTCTGAATGTGACCCAAGATTGAGATGACACTTCAGACAGAATGAAACCCAAGTTCCCAGGGTAAATGCAAAACCTCTGCTCCCCAGGAGTGGAAGACACTAAACACAGCTGTAAAACAGTGGTTCCCTGCAAAGGTACAGACAGCAGGCAGTGATAAGGTGGTGTGGCAGAGGTCCAGTAGAAGAGCGGGGTGGAGAGCAGCTACTGTTATAAACTACTCACATTAGGGGTGCATATGGACTCCAGTTGTTATTCAAGCTCATGGGTTACTGAGTGGCTATGCAGCAGCTCTGCATCAACCAGCTGCGTTAGGGAAGGGAAAATGTATTTGCAACAACTCTTCCTAGATCTTTTAGTCCAAAACTGGGCTTTGCATGACGTGTTTCAGCATTTAGTGCCAGGAGGGGTGTAAGCTATACTCATTCATCTCAACAAGATGTTAACTTTGATACCTGACAAGGGCAGTTTACATTCAATACTGTCAACTATTTTACAGCTAAGAAACATACACCTATTCTTGTTTTGAGGACAGATACTGAGCAGAATATGGTCACTTCCTCACCCCTGAGTATATATAATGAAGCTGAAGGGAAAATGTAAAACAACACACACTGTACGGTCACATTTTAATGCCATATGTGGGGAATGAGATGTGCTGTTCTCATTAATACCAAGGAGTTGTGAATCTCTTTTCCTGTTCTCGACAGTGAAAACTGCCGCCAACATTTAAAGCCAAAATCTACTTGAATTCAATGCTGTTATCAGCATCTTGCTGGACTGTGGGATAATTGTATCACATCTTTATTTTCAAAGTTGATTTTGATTTTGTAAATGATTAGCATTTTAAAACCACTCACTGTGTCTGTGCATCTGCACTTGTTGCAAAAGAGGCAACAAACTCCTCTGTAAAGCAGGGAGGTTTAAGACATTGGGCTCAATTCTACGGCCATTCTCAACTCAAAAGGAATTGTGCATGTACAATAGCTTCAGAATAAGATTAACTTTATTAACTACTGACCTCACTCACATTAGGGGAAATCAGAGCTTTATTCTGATGGAATAATGAAACTTGTTACCATAAAGACTAAGCTTATGTGTGCAGGAGACAGAGCTTTCCTGGGGGCTGGTCCCAAACGGGGAACAAATACCCGGAGGAAAAGACTATTACAAACCTCCCCACCTTCTGCTCCATGTACCAGGTGCATTCCTCTGACCTGCCTTCTCTAACACAAACACAGAACAGCATAGACATTTAAAAACAAACAAAGTGATAAAAAAATAAAGTGCTCTCATTGCACACACAAACTCCCATGGACGAGAGAGAGAACAAGTCACATATGATAAATGTTAGTCACGTTGTTTAATGCACCACCGGAAAGCACTTAGCCAAGTGCACTTTTGAGGGACTCATGCTCTCACCCTCACACATAGTTTGCTCAGGGACCTGGAAAAAACACAGTCAAAAGTGCAGGTATGCTAGTATAAGTTTTGACCATTGTAGGAACACTTTGTCTGTATAATGCAGCTGCACAGATATACCAACAAAGCACTCTAGTGCTGACCTGGCCTCAGACACGATGCTTTGAGGGCAGTAGGATAATCAGTGGGCTAGAAATTCTTCCTTTGAAATCTCTCTCTTAGAAGTTTAAATTCATCATAGATATAAATTGATCCAACTCTGCTTTCTTCAATGGAGTTACAGCTTCTTATGCCATTGGTGTATTTGGTCCTGAGATTTCATTGCAAGGAGATGGATTTTTAACATCTTGTTTTAGGAAAATCTAATCTCAAGGCATCAGTTATAACAACTGAGCTTGGTTCATCCTTGGTTTGGCATTCTTACTGAATGTGCTTCTGTTTTATTTCATTAACACTGCTCACAAGCAGGAATTATGCAATAGAAAGAAAATCAGAAGCTATCCAACCTCTCCTACGAGACTGAAACCATGCTAAAAATCCACATCTGGGTTTATATGATAAAACTGGATGCATATGATCCAGAAAAGTGCAGAGAAAATACATTCATTCGAGAAATATTTCATGGGATGCTGTCAAATTCAAAAGCGACACCCTTCATATTCTGCAAATGATATTTGCACACTGTTGGCTTACCAGCAATGAGATATACTGCTGGCCACTTATAGGGGTCTTTCAGGAAAACTGAAATTATCTTGACAGGGTCGAATAACAGTCCATACCTTGAAGAGAAAAACAGTGAGGCGGTGCAGAAATTCTATGGTTTGATATTATTAGAACCATGGATACTATATTTCTACCATAATGGTGAGACCAAGGGTACAGCTACACTGCACAGCTATTTTGCGATACCAGAAATATCCTGAAATAGCTGCCCCAAGTCTTAACAAGCTGCCTGTTATTTCGAAATATTTTTCAAACTAACGGGCGCCCTATTTCGGCATCCCTGTAACCCTCGTTCCACAAGGGTTAAGGAATGTCTCAAAACAGAGCATTACTTCAAAATTTAGCACTGTGCAGACATGCCAAGTTTCAAAATAAGCTATTTTGAAATAGAATCGAAATAAGATATGCAATTTGAGTAGCTCAAATTGTGTATCTTATTTCTAGTTTAGGGTGCTGTGTAGACGCACCTAAGATACCTGTCTCATGTTCCTTATTGACTCCCCAGTCCTCGAGTCCCTAAACCTCTCCCAACTGCAGTAGTTGTTCAAATTAGAGACCATGATTGCCCCAATATTTGGGTTCAAGTGACTGAAATCCAACCCCTCTCTATGCTCTGGCAGAGACACTATAATTAACCATCCACACAGGGGTTCCACCAGAGGTAGCAGTTGTAAATTTTTGGCTAGGGTTCTGCAGGAGCCTTGTAAGTGACAGGTGCCCAGAATCAGCACATGACCCTGGCACTCGGGCCCTGCCCACTTTTTAGGATGCACTGACAAGTTCTCAGCTTCCCAAATTAGTGGAGATTGTGGATAACCTGTGCTGCTTCACTCCTCTTTCTGAATAACCTGTTATAGGAACCATATTTCTGCCACCAAATGTGCCTTCAACCCCTCAGCCAATATTCAATTGACTATACAGATTTGAAAAGACAGATCTGAAAGCAAAGAAAGGCAATTCTCTCAATGAAAAATCAGGTACACTGCATACATTTGTTACCATTCATTAAGGACGCTCATTGAACAATTAATACATTCATGTATGCAACATAACTACCGTAATTTTGAGATTTCAATTTTATTAACTTTTCTTTTGCCAATTAGTTCATAAAATAAGCGTCCTACAGTAATGCAAAATAACCTTGCTGAGCTGGTTCTGATAGTAATCTATTATACTATACTATATAGTAATCTACGATATATTTGAGAGAGTTTGTGCATCTGTCTGTCCGTCTGCGAGTCTATTTGTTCAAGAATGCCTCCTAAATCGTAAGAGCTAGGACCACCAAATTTGGTAGGCAGCTGCCTCTTTTCCTAACAAAGCAAAGTAAGGGTTTGGTTGTGCCAGGACAATAGGATGTACATGGAATGTGACTGTTTCTCATCAAACAGAAAGGGAAGGCTGTGATAGCAGGGACAGTTATATTCTCAAATGACCACAAGGAGGCAGCAAGTGCCGCAGCCCTGGGAAACAGCTGCTGCAGTCTCTGCCACCCCAGCCTGGCCCTGGGAGCAGCCGGTGTCCCAAGACAGCCTGGGGAGCAGCCAGAGGGCAGGCTGCATGGCCCCTGCCATCCTTGGGGAGCAGCCGGCAGACAGGCTGGAAGGCCCCTCATCCCCCAACCCTGACTCCTGCACCCCCACACACCTCCAGCCTCCTGTCCTGAGCCCCTTTTATCCCCCACATCTCCAGCCCTTTGCCCTGCAGGACCCAAGCAACGCCGGGTAAATCTTCTAGTCATATTATATGGGACAAGTTCTCAGAAGGCATTCATTGGCATAGATCCATTGATTTCAACTGATTGGCACGAATTTACCCCAGCTGAAGATCTGGTCTCATACGTCTACAGCATCTTTCATTCTAAAGGAGCCTTTCGATTCTGATGTGGGCATGCTCCAGCTTGGAGTTCACTGGGGCTATGTAGCCAATGAACACTACGAGGAATTCTCTCTCTGTGATCCTTCGAGAGGATGCTGTGTGCTCTAGAATAAGATACTGGACGGCCCCTACATCCTTCCCCATTCTTGGACACGAGAAGAAGGGGGGAACACAATCTGGTCCTATAACAACACAGTAGCCCAGAAATGCAGCTACTTTGGCAGTGGAAGGCAGCAGCCAGGTAGGTTGACAAATGTTGCATAGCATGACTGTGGGATGCACAGAAATTTTTTGCGTACAGTAGTAGGTCCACATGGACACTGTGAACACAGCATGATTGGGAGATGCACAGGAATTTTGGTTTAAGACAGCAGGGCAAACCTGTACTCAGCTGAAATCTACAATGGAATTGTTTATGTCCAGGAAGAGCAAACATGTTTTTAAGGACTAAGTTATTTCGTAAATGACATGGAACTTATCCACCACTGAAGGATGAAAGGCTAAGTTAATCATGCTGGGATTTGAAACCATGTTTAAAGAGAGTCTACATATTTTGAAATTTGAAGCTTAGATCACGATGCCATCCTGTACAGTGAATGATTCTGGGACACTGTCGTAATGTATAGGTGAAAATGTGATGTTATATCTTTTCTTGTTGTTAACTGGTTAACCACAGAACGACTTTTCAATCAACATATGCCCACTTCCCCTGCAACTAAGAATTCAATGATACACTGCCTTTCTTTAGTGACATATTACCTGATGAAATTCTCCAGGCTCATGTGAACATGAGTGAGGACCTAAAGTAAAAAAACATACACTGTTCATCAGAGTTCTATGCAAAATCGCATTTAAAATATCAGTGTTGAGATTGGGTAGAAACAGTCTCTAAGAACTAATTTAATTTACATGAACCAAAACGTTGATGACAAATGCATTCATTTGGCTTGATTAGAATTGGTCTGAGTAGCTCACAAGCTGATGGGTCCATTCAAAATAGTCAAATTTATGTCAGAGAATAGCCTATTTCCCCCCAAACTGATCAGTGACCCGTTTCTCAAATTTATTGATAACATTTGTTTTATCCCGATTCAAAAAAAACCAACAGTCTGTCTATTCAATAGATCCCATGAACGACAACAGATGTCATTCCTTTCTCCTAAGGTGTACATCAGGAGTGACTCCTCATAATGGAGTTACATCTCTGCATCTCTGATATGAGATGAAAATAAGTTCCAGTAATAGTACCCAAAGCCTGCTGGGGAAGATGATACATTTTAGGGAGCAAGGTTGTTAAACGGTAATGACAAAAGATGGAGGAAAGGACTGATTGCTTTGCTTATTTGGCTGAGCAAGGTTTGCTTCCCCCCTGTAGGAAGAAGCGAGGTGAGGTCCCCTCTCATTATATTGAGTCTGGTTCTCCATAGCATTACACCAGATGGATACCCACAAAATTCCATTGAGGAGAGGCTGAGGGAAAGGGTCTGAAGAAGAGAAAAGTGAGGGGGGATTTTATAACAGCCTTCAGCTACTTGAGGGGTGGGTTCCAAAAAGGATGGTGCCAGGCTGTCCTCAGTGGTGGCAGATGACAGAACAAGGAGGAATGGTCTCAAGTTGCAGTGGGGGAGGTTTAGGTTGGATATTAGGAAAAATCTATTTCTCTAGAAAGGTGGTGAAGCACTGGAATGGATTATTTAGGGAGGTGGTGAAATCGCCATCCCTGGAGGTTTTTAAATCTCAGCTTGACAGGGCCCTGGCTGGGTTGATTTAGTTGGGATTGGTCCTGCCTTGGGCAGGGGACTGGACTTGATGACCTCCTAAGGTCTCTTCCAGCTCTATGATTCTATGTGATGAAATCTGCACCTTTGGGGTTTTTAAAGCCAAGCTTCACAAAGCCTTGGCTGGGATGATTTAGAATCATAGAATACCAGAACTGGAAGGGACCTCGAGAGATCATCAAGTCTAGTCCCCTGCTCTCACAGCAGGACCTGCCACCATCTAGATTATACCAAATAGCTGTCTACCAAAACTGCTCCTAAATGTCTCCAGTGATGGAGATTCCACAGCCTCCCTAAGCAATTTATTCCAGTGCTTAACCACCCTGACAGTTAGGAAATTTTTGCTAATGTCCAACCTAAACTTACCTTGCAGCAATTTAAGCCCGTTGCTTCTTGTCCTATCATCAGAGGCCTATCTCCCTCCTAACACTCTTAGGGTATGTCTACACTACCCCGCTAGTGCGAACTAGCAGGGTAATGTATGCATACCGAACGTGCAAATGAAGCCCGGGATTTGAATTTCCCGGGCTTTATTTGCATAAGCCGGCCGGCGCCATTTTTAAATGCCGGCTTGTTCGAACCCCGTGCCGCGCGGCTACACGCGGCACGGGCTAGATAGTTCGGAATGGCTTGCTAGTCCGAACTATCTAGCCCGTGCCGCGTGTAGCCGCGCGGCACGGGGTTCGAACAAGCCGGCATTTAAAAATGGCGCCGGCCGGCTTATGCAAATAAAGCCCGGGAAATTCAAATCCCGGGCTTCATTTGCACGTTCGGTATGCATACATTACCCCGCTAGTTCGCACTAGCGGGGTAGTGTAGACATACCCTTAGATATGTCTGGCAAGGGCAGGGGGAAATGTGGGAGTGTCTGTGGATTTAAAGGGGCTGTGACTTCTTTTTTTGGTAGTGGTGGGAGGGGTTCTCAACAACTTTGGTCCCCATTTCTTTTTGCTCAACAACTTTTAGTTCTTTTTCTTTTTGGCTCAACCAATTTTTTCCCGCCATGTTTGGTATTTTTTGTGAAACTATCAGGCAACCCTACTCATATTTAGCTTGTGGTCCACTCTGACCCATAGATCCCTTTCTGCAGCACACCTTCCTAGACATTCACTTCCCCTTCTATTATGTGAAACTGATTGTTCCTTCCCAAGTGGAACACTTTGCATTTGTCCTTATTAAACTTCATCCTGTTTACCTCAGACCATTTCTCTAATTTGTCCAGATCATTTTGAATTATGACCCTATCCTCCAGAGCAGTCGCAACCCCTCCCAGCTTGGTATCATCTGCAAACTTAAAAAGTGTACTTTCTATGCCAATATCTAAATCATTGATGAAGATATTCAACAGAACCAGTCCCAAAACAGATCCCTGCGGAACCCCACTTGTTATACCTTTCCAGCAGGATTGTGAACCATTAATACTACTCTTTATACAATCATCTAAATCGCTGATGAAGATATTGAACAGAACCAGACCCAAAACAGATCCCTGTGGATCCCCTCTTGTTACGTCCTTCCAGCATGATTGTGAACCGTTAATAACTACTCTCTGAGAATGGTTATCCAGCTAGTTATGCACCCACCTTATAGTAGCCCCATCTAGGTTGTATTTCCCTAGTTTATTGATAAGAAGGGTCATGCAAGACCATATCAAATGCTTTACTAAAGTCTAGGTATACCACATCCACCACTTCTCCCTTATCCACAAGACTCGTTATCCTATCAAAGAAAGCTATCAGATTGGTGTGACATGATTTGTTCTTTACAAATCAATGCTGGCTGTTACCTATCATCTTATTCTCGTCCCAATGTTTGCAGATGAATCCCTTAATTATTTGCTCCATTATCTTTCCTGGCACAGAAGTTAAGCTAACTGGTCTGTAGTTTCCTGGGTCATTCCTATTTTTCTTTTTATAGATGGGCACTCTATTTGCCCTTTTCCAGTTTTCTGGTATCTCTCCCAACTTCCATGACTTTTCAAAGATGATAGCTAAAGACTCAGATACCTCCTCTATCAGCTCCTTAAGTACAGTAATTCCTCATTTAACACTATAGATATGTTTCAGAAAATGATTGTGTAAAGTGAAAAAGTGTTATGCGGGGTAAATTTTCCCATTGAAAATAATGGAAAAGGTGGGAATTGCGTTTCAAGCGGTGGTGTCTGTTGGAACCGGGACATAAGGTTGGGAGAGAAAGAGGACTAGGGTTACAGAAGGGAGGAGGTGATTGGCTCTGGGGAAGAGAAGAGGAGGAGAGGGGAGGGGGATTGGGTTGGGAGTCTGCCTCTGTGATGGGTCTGCTGGGACCCGCACTGCATCCAGCGAGGGGGGGTCGCCGGGGAATGGCGCGGCGAGCAGCAAACCCTCCGTCGCTTTGCATGGAGGCGGGGGACGGTCGTATAAGTCAAAAATCATTCTCTAAAAAAAATCATGCAATTGCGAAAACATGTTAAGCAGGCACGTGTTAAATGTGGAATTACTGTATACTAGGATGCATTTCATCAGGCCCTGGTGACTTGAAGACATCTAAGTTTTCTAAGTAATTTTTAGCTAGTTCTTTTCTAAACTTACCCCATTTCCACTAGCATTCACTGTGTTAGGCATCCCGTCACCATCAATCTTCTTGGCAAAAACCAAAATAAAGAAGTCCTTAAGCAATTCTGCCAATTCTAAGTTTCCTGTTATTGCTTCTCCCTCTTCACTGAGGGAGTGGGCAGTGGACTTATCCTATCCAGGGTCTTCCTCTTGCTTCTAATGTATTTGTAGAATGTTTTCTTGTTACACATGCATCTGACAAAGTGGGTCTTTGCCCACGAAAGCTTATGCTCCTACACTTCAGTTAGTCTATAAGGTGCCACAGGACTCCTCACCGCTTGTGCAGATTCAGACTAACACGGCTACCCCTCTGATACTTGTTACCCTTTGTGTCTCTTGCTAGATTGAGCATGAATTTAGTTTGGGTTTGTTCCTGCTTTGAGCAGGGGGTTGGATTAGATGACTTCTAAGGTCTCTTCCAACCCTAATCTTCTATTCTATGATTCTGTGACTTCAATGGCTTGAAACTGTGAGGAATCACACTGATTCACTGGGATTTACTAGAGAAATATACCGACCCACATTAGATGGGGCTTCATGTTGTATCAATGATTTACTTAACCTCCCCCTAGAGGAAAAACAAATTGGCTATTTTCACACAATTCTAAGTTGCAGGTATTTGCAAAGAGTTAGTGATATACATAAAGGAACACAAAGAAAATTGAAAGTTACTGATTTGTACAACAAAGAAGTAACAACTGCTGGCTCTAAACTTAGCAGCTGAGACAAGAAATACTAAACATTTCTGTAAATATTACCAAGTAAATCATAAAAGGTTTAACCCATTCAGCACTTCTCTGCAAGGTTTAAAGTTAGAAACACTAATCAATCATCAATTATTGGTCTAAATTATTTGGTGATTTTCGCACTTACCAACAGGACTACAGACCAGTTAAAAATGCCTTGAAAATTGTTGAATCCACTTCCATATGATAATAGGGATTCGCACGATGTATGACAGCTAAGAAAAAAATCGAATTGTTGTAATGCTTTCATTTTCATTTTTACTGAAAATTTAGTTTTCAATAGAAACTGTAATATTTGAAAAACAAATATATTCCCACTTTCCTCTTCAGGTGCTAGTTCACGGATTCCAGGGAATAAATCTACCCTGTTTTAGTCTCAAACATGCTAAGCATTCTGTGGATCTGCTGATGTCTTCTAATAATTCCGTTGTGCAGTTATGTTATGTTGGAACAAGTAGATTAAAATGCACAGGGGAAATTTTTGTGTATAATAATAAGTCCACATGGACACTGAGAACACAGCAAGCCAGTGCAGGCTAGATTTAGACCACCATTTGACATGAACTCCCAATGTAGGCAAGTCCTAATCTTAGGGTATGTCTACACTTGCACCCTAGTTTGGACTATGGTGGAGTAATGTTAGTTCAAACCAAGGGGTTTGGTTCGAACTAACGCATCCCAGCACGCACTTCCTGGTTCGAATCAGCTGTGATTCGAACTAGCGCGCCAGCGAGATCTTGCTAATGAAGCATGGGATATTTAAATCCCCACTTCATTAGCAATTTTGAATACCTGCATTTGCATCCCTAGTCCGAACTAGGGTGCAAGTGTAGACATACCCTTATAGACAGGGCCAGCTCAAGCCATTTCTGCGCCCTGGGCAGTGGGTGCATAACGCATGCGTGGCTCCGCCCCCAGGCGCATGGCGCATGCATGGTCCCGCCCCCCAGCGCACTGCGCACCTTCCAGCTGCCATCGGGCATGCGGCATGCAATGGCAGCTCCAAGGGGTGCCGCGTGGCCCCCAATCCCGGGTGCACAGCGCCCTTTACAGCTGCCATCAGGCGCCCCCCATAGGATGGCACCCTGGGCAGCTGCCCGGCTAGCCCCACCCTAATTCCGGCACAGCTTATAGACCAACTGTAGAAGATTGTAACCTCACAGAGTTCCAGTGTGGCCTAGAGCAGGGTTACTCAACTTTGGAAGTCCCGGGGACCCCAATGATAATAACAGCACATGCCGAGGGCTGCAACTTAAGTGTGGTTGCATATACTTGCAAATATATATGCAAATATATGCAAATAGCTTCTTTCACACTGACAGGCACGAATACAAAGATTAAGCTGTAAACCGCAGTGCTGGACCCAGATGTGGCCAGTGTGAGCCAGTCAGCACATCTCAGGGTCTGCCTACAAGGCTAAGTAGCCAGCACCTCCCACAATGCCCCAGCACTCCCAGCACCTCCTCCCTGGAGGTTAGAGTAGTCAACACCCTGTATCCGACTGTTTCAGCCAGCCCGTCCACTTGCGTCTTTCAATGCTCACCCCACCTAGAAGACATCTCGCTGTTGTGGAGCGTGTCCCAGTGGAAACCATGTGTTGAGCCCTGCAAAAACCCAAACTGCACCACGGGCAGCAAACAAATGGGCCATGGCTGCATGTGACCTGCGGGCCACGTGTTGAGTAGCCCTAGTCTAGAGAACCCTACACTATACTAGGCTTCAGAAGACCTGGTTTCTATTTTCTGCTATACCGCTGAGTGACTTGGGACAAGTTAGCTTACGTCCCTGTGCCTCAGTTTCTCTAGCTGTAAAATGTGTTCCTCCTTTGTCAGGGTGCTTGGGGATTAAAAGGGATGACAAGACCTAATCATGATTAACAGATCTTCCAGGAGTCTAGAAAGAAGCAGAAAGACTGTAATTCTCACCCTGGCTCGATCAGTGATTGGAAACTCCTAACCTTGCTTCCATCTTTTTCTCCAAGCAACAAATTAGCTGCTAAATTGCTCAAGGAGAGACAGATTTGGCAATGTTCGTTTGTGCAGAGCAGGATTCACTCCCACAGGTAATCCCACTGAAGCCATGGAACTACTTCCACAAGTACTGGAAAAACCTACAAAACAAATAGTGTAGAAGCACCGTCAAGTCTAACAAAACACGTAGATAGTTAGTCTTTAAGGTGCTGCTAGACGATTTGTCGTTGTTTAAGTTTTTCCAGTTACAGACTAACTGGGCTACCCCCTGAAGCTTTTCCATGAATACTGTCAATCCTACTCAACATATGGATTGCAAAATCTAGCACTGAGGATACAATATGTCCGGTCGCTACAAGTGTACAACCCTCATTCATCAGCCCAATAGGCTGAATAAGAAACACAAACTGTTCCTATCAACAAATGTTCCAGTAATGAAAGAAATTGGCTTAACCAATGTTTGGATCAGTTTCAGGTTGAAGAATACTGACAGTAACTTACAACTCCAGAGCACCACTGACAAATACCAAAGCCCTGATCTTCAGAACTGTGCATACCCCTAACAGACATGAGCATTACCTGTGTACACAATTACCCCCATTCTTTGTGTTACGATACAGGCTGAAATCCTAGCCTGGAGATTTGGGATTCCAGATTTGGGAACATGACATACCACCTGCTTTATCCCAGTGTCACTACCATAAAGCCCATGTGATTCTTTACTCTCTTCTGCAATGGGGGAATCAGTTCTCATCTATTACTTCTTGTAGTTGGACATTCACCTTCTGTTTTCTGTGTCCTACACTCCTGATTCCCTACTCCTCTTGCTTTTGTATACCACCTCCTCTGGCCTTATTTTTGTTTCATAACTTTCCACCATCTTCTTTCCTTTGCCCCTTCTTCCCTGCTCTTGTCCACTCTTTGTCCTCTTCCACCTAGCTTATGTTCTTGTATTTTTAACTTCAAATGTTTCTTTAATGGGTCTGATCCTCCCCTCAAACCACTGTATACCATTGTAATTCCATGTGACGTTAATAGGATCACTCCCAATTTATACTGATGCCAGGGGTGAAAGGAACTTAAATTTCTTACAGGTACTGTCCTATCGCAACCCAGGTCTCTGCCAACTCTTTAAATAGCTCCCTGCTGGCTATTGCTGCAGCTCAGCCATTTCTTGTCAGAGCTGCACACCCCTTTACTTTCACCTCTGTGTATTACACACAAACAAGATCGCTTATGAAACAGACCATTCCCTTTCTTTTAACAAGGCAAATAAAAATCTGGTTTACAGTTCAAAGCTGATTATACACATTTTTGAATGCTGAATAGTCAAGATTCACTCTTAGTAGCTCCGTGGCAAATCCCAGTATGGTATCTCTCTTATCATAGAAGGGCAAATTATATAAAAGGATCATGAACTAGCAGCTGAATTCCAACATTTCTTACTACGTATTCAGAGACACAATTCTCAGGCCTGGTCTAGACTTAACAGTTAGGTTTACATACCTGCGGTGCTTAGAGGCATGAAAAATTGACATTACTGAGCACCATTGCCATGTCATCCTAACCCCCAGTGTGGACGTGGCTTGGATGATGGAAGAATGCTTCCATTGACCTAGCTACTGCCACTGAGACAGATTACCCAAAGCAATAAAAAATAAAAAAACCCTTCTGTGGCTGCAGGGTCTACAATATGCTGCACTGCAGCTGTGCTGCTTGTAGCACTTGCAAAGCAGATATGGCTTTGGAGTTGTTCTGTAATAAGTATGAGTGTTCTTTGAAATTATATGATTCATCTTTGTGTTTGCCCTGTACCTCAGTTTTTCTGGATTGTCTTGTCTCACGTCAGTGTCATTCACTTCAGGCTGAGGCATCTCAGGATTGATGGAAATATTAATTTTCTTTTTTCTCTTTCCAGTCATTTTGATCCCAAACCCTATAAAAAGATATGATGCCATTTGTACAATCCTCTCTTCTCACAATCTCTGTAAACATCCATTTTGAGCACAAAGATTTTGTTCTTTCTATGACCTGGTTAAACAGGGATAGCTTTTTTAGTCCAGTCTTGCAAATTAGGCTCTTCACCCAGAACTGTCCTTTAAAAAGGCCTCTTGAAAACTGTTATACCACTCCACCAGATAATGTGCCAAAATGGAAATAAAATTATTACTGTACAAAGTTTCTCTCTCATTAGGAAACAAGTACAATGTTAAAGACTTCTATCTGAATATACTGTTTTTTGTACAATGGATGAAAACTTGAAATCTTACTAGGGAAAAAGGACAGACTGTTGACTGTTTCAGAATGTTGATTTTGTTTCATTTTTATGTGACTCTTTTTTCTGCTGTTGGTTTTTACATTCCACTAATTCAAAGATTTAATATTCTTATTAATGGGGAAAAGAGATTTTCTAAAACTGATGAAGTATGGGTGTTATATTTGAATACACAGTGCAATTATTCCTTCCACTTCTTGGTCTCCATGTGTTTTACTCAGATAACTAACAAATCAAGTTAATTTGAATTTTCACAACTTCAGCATACGGGAGTTCGCAAAAAGCTGTTGTTACTTTTTATTTGCTTATGTTTTTTGTATAGCTCTTATTTCCATGGCATCTAAGCAATGAGTAAGTAATTCAAGTATATATTCTTAGCCCAACATTTTGTACTTTTTAGAAAAAAATTTGATGACATTTTCCTTGAACAAAATAGGTAACAGAAGATTTAGCAAACTGTTGCAAATGTGGCTGTTTTAGCTGGCTTGATTTCGAGCAAAGTACAAGTGTGGAAATTAACAACCAAAACAATACCAGACCAGCCTGAAACCAGCTTGAGCAGAAGGTTCCATGGAGAACACTGTGATCATAAGAATTTTAAAGTAATGAAAATGTAACACTGGCTGGTGAGTTAGTCATGAACTGCAAAATCTTTTCTTTTATTCTCTTTTTAATACAGATGAATGTTTAAAGGGATTCAAGATTTCCAATCTATAGTCAAATGTAGATTTTTAGTGGCAAGTATGACTGTTTTTGCCCCTCAAAATGATAAAAACAGCTTTTCATGGTTAATTACCACATATTCTTTTTATAATGCCAGTTCAGTCTATACATTGCCACTATTGTTTTTCCCAGGAAAACAGAGAGAGGCATGCAGAAGCCCAATCCTCTGCACCAAAAAGGGTCAACTGAATAATCCATTCCAGGGAGCAGACTCAACTTTCTCACTCTTGTAAGAAGTCATGCCAGCTTAAACCAGAAATAAAGGTGGAGGTGGGGGAGGTATGACAGTCTAGGGCCCATGTTTCAAAACCTCACCAAATGTTTCAAATCTGATCCCACTACTAGAGTTCTTTGAGGGGTCAATAAACGTGGACAAGGGGGATCCAGTGGATATAGTATTCTTAGATTTTCAGAAAGCCTTTGACAAGGTCTCTCACCAAACACTCTTAAGTAAAGTAAGTTATCATAGGATAAGAGGTAAGGTCCTTTCATGGATTGATAACTGGTTAAAAGACATGAAACAAAGGGTAGGAATAAATGGTAAGCTTTCAGAGTAGAAAGAGGTAACTACTGGGGTCCCCCAAGGGTCTGTGCTGGGGCCAATCCTAGTCGACTTATTTATAAATGATCAGAGAAAGGGGTAAACAGCGAGGTGGCAAAATTTGCAGATGATACCAAACTGCTTTAGATAGTTAAGACCAAAGCAGACTGTGAAGAGCTTCAAAAAGATCTCATCAAACTAAGTGATTGGGCAACAAAATGGCAAATGAAATTTAATGCTGATAAATGTAAAGTAACGCACATTGGCAAAAATAATCCTAACTATACGTACAAAATGATGGGGTCTAATTTAGCTACATCTACTCAAGAGAGAGATCTTGGAGTCACTGTGCATAGTTCTCTGAAAACATCTACTCAGTGTGCAGCAGCAGTCAAAAAAGGAAATAACATGTTAGGAATCATTAAAAAAGGGTTTAGAGAATATGCCTCTGTATAAAAACATGGTATGCCTACATCTTGAATACTGCGTACAGATGTGGTCACCTCATCTCAAAAAAGATATATTGGCATTGGAAAAGGTACAGAAAAGGGCAACAAAAATGATGAGGGGTTTGGTACGGGTCCCATATGAAGAGAGATTAAAAAGACTTGGACTTTTCAACTTAGAAAAGAGGAGACTAAGGGGGATATGACAGAGGTCTATAAAAGCATGACCAGTGTGGAAAAAGTAAATAAGGAAAAGTTATTTACTTATTCCCACAATATAAGAACTAGGGGTCACCAAATGAAATTAATAGGTAGCAGATTTAAAACAAATAAAAGGAAGTTTTTCCTCATTCAGCGCACAGTCAACCTCTAGAATACCTTGCGAGAGGATGCGGTGAAGACCGGGACTTGAACAGGGTTCAAAAAAGAGCTACATAAATTCATGGAGGTTAGGTCCATCAATGGCTATTAGCAGGGCTCGACAAACCGCTGATTCTACTCACCCATGGCGAGTAGATTTCAGCCGGTTGCTCCGTGCACCCCATTCACCGGCGCTGTGCACATGCGCAGTGCTGGTCTGGCGCACATGCAGTGCGGGGCTGGCGAGTAGCTCTCACCACGGTTTTTTAAGCCCTGGCTATTAGCCAGGATGGGTAGGAACGGTGTCCCTAGTCTCTGTTTCTCTGGAGGTGGGTGACAGGGGAGGCACCACGTGAGGATTACCTGTTGTGTTCCCTCCCTCTGGGGCATCTGGTATTGGCCACTGTTGGCAAACAGGATACTGTGCTGGATAGACCGTTGGTCTGACCCAGCATGGCCTTTCTTATGTTCACAAATATATGAATATATTTGGGGCCATACTTTTTTCAAAGTCTCATGATCACTATATTCTCTATGGAATTCTTCTATTCAGGCTTTTTTTCAGGCTACTGTTTTTGGCTACATTAGTTACCACCCTTCGAATTTACTGCTGACCACACTAAAAACAGGCTGGAATTTTCAAGAATGTTGATGAGAATTAAGCTCCTGACGCCTTCTGAAATCTGCTTAGTGTTTTTCAAAATCCCACCCTTATCTTTGATCCATTCCCAGTCCATTTGCCAGTATGTCTTTGATTGAAAGGGAAACAAAGTGGGTTTCAAAAATATAATTCTGCTTAAGACATCAAAAACTGTGAGAACAACTCAAATTGCTACTTCCCACGAGTGCACTGATGCTCATATTTCTTTCAAACCTACTCAAAGCTTGGTATGAGAGACTGATAAACAAAGCTATAATTCTTGATAAAAGGAAAATAAAATCTTTAACAATGATAGAAAAGTTCTGTTATTGTACAGATTACCATTCTTAGTAACAGTGCAGGTGTTTTATTGTTATTTTATTTCTCAACATGCACAATTAAAGGCAGGGCAAACAAGGTTTAATTAAGCAAAGAAAAAATGAATTCCCCCAAAAATGTAAAACATTTTAAAAGTTCTAAACAAGACAAGGACAAAAGAAGTCAAAGTATGCTCTCAGTTATACCAATGTAAGTCTTGAGTAACTCCAGTGAAATCTGTGAGGTTACTCTGGAGTTATACTTGTGTACCCAAGATCAAAATCTGGCCCAAAGAGTTTGACTTTGTGCTAGAGCATTATCTCTGGTCTATTGAGTTGTAACACTAAAGTGAATGTGGCATTTGAATTACATTCCAATAATCTGCCTCAGCATGAAAACAATTTAACAATTAAAACTTTGGCATTAAGAGATCATTAAGATATACTTAAACCTACTTAGCATTAATTTGTCTGGATTTTCACTGTGTCCCTTATTAAGCAGAATGACCCATGTTTCCACTACAAAAAACAACCCTAACCACATAGATTCAAATTCATACTCACTGTGGTCTTTATACAATTTGTGGATAAGGCCAGATTCACCCCTTGGGCACAATGGAGTGCAATTTGCAGCTTCCCTGCTGTGCCTGTTAGAATGGCTGCACTAAAGATTCAAACTTCAAACACAGGCAATTGTGATATCACAGGTGCTCTCCACTAGGGTTCTGATAGGGAAGGATAGCTTTAAAACTCAGTCGACATAGAATGTCCAAGGCTAGTCTAGACTACATGCCTCTGACGACAGAAGCATGTAGATGAGGCCACCAGGCATAGAAAAATGAAGCGGCGATTTAAATAATCGCCGCTTCATTTAAATGTACATGGCTGCCGCGCTGAGCCGACAAACAGCTGATCAGCTGTTTGTCGGCTCAGCGCGGCAGCCATGTACATTTAAATGAAGCGGCGATTATTTAAATCGCCGCTTCATTTTTCTATGCCTGGTGGCCTCATCTACATGCTTCTGTCGTCAGAGGCATGTAGTCTAGACTAGCCTTGGACATTCTATGTCGACTGAGTTTTAAAGCTATCCTTCCCTATCAGAACCCTAGTGGAGAGCACCTGTGATATCACAATTGCCTGTGTTTGAAGTTTGAATCTTTAGTGCAGCCATTCTAACAGGCACAGCAGGGAAGCTGCAAATTGCACTCCATTGTGCCCAAGGGGTGAATCTGGCCTTATCCACAAATTGTATAAAGACCACAGTGAGTATGAATTTGAATCTATGTGGTTAGGGTTGTTTTTTGTAGTGGAAACATGGGTCCAAGGATGGTTTGTACCCCTATGCCCCAGAAATCCAGGCTGACTTCCTGCTGTCAGCAATACACTACCAGAGTTGCATCATTGTGAACTTATTCCAGTGCCTGTAACATCCAGTCACAAAGGTTTAGCTGAAAAGATGAGCCTAAGACAATATGCTGACAAATTTGAGATCTGACACCTGTCAGGAGAAAATTCCAGACATGGGCCTTCCAACCAAGACCTGCTTTCACCGAGATCGGTTGATTTCAGCCATCACAGAGGAGATGGCCACACTCTAAAACAAACAAATACCAAATCACGTAGGCCCAGATATTCAAAGAGGCACCTCAAGTCCATGCAAGTGAAGGGTGTATCTCAATACCTTTCATATTCCAGGCCAGACAACTTTACATCAAATTAAAAAAACAACACTTTGTCTTGCACCAAGGTATTGATGGGAAGCCACTAGTTTATAGAATGCCACAAGAACATACCTGCAATCTGCCCCCGATTTAGACAGGGTAGCTTAAAGCTTCTGAATGATTTGGTTTTAGTGTTAATTTAAATTCTTGGAAGGAAATGCTGGCCTCATTACAGTCAAGGAGACTTCTGTCAGGATTCCTCCTTACATTTTTTAAATCTAAAAGGCTACGTCTAGACTGGCATGATTTTCCGCAAATGCTTTTAACGGAAAAGCTTTCAGTTAAAAGTATTTGCGGAAAAGAGCGTCTAGATTATCACGAACGCTTAAAAGTATCCGTGCCAATCTAGACGCGCTTTTGCGCAAAAAAAGCCCCGTTGGCAATTTTTGCAATCGGGGCTTTTTTGCGCAAAACAAATCTGAGCTGTCTACACTGGCCCTTTTGCGCAAAAGGACTTTTGCCCGAACGGGAGCAGCATAGTATTTCCACAAGAAGCACTGATTTCTTACATGAGATCATCAGTGTTCTTGCGGAAATTCAAGCAGCCAGTGTAGACAGCTAGCAAGTTTTTCCGCAAAAGCAGTTTGCGGAAAAACTTGCCAGCCTAGACACAGCCAAACTGTAACTTCTTTGGAAGCAGAGACCGTCTTCCTACTGAATCCGGTGCAACATGTCATTTTAAGGTCCTTTCGCCACAACTTTTGGGGCAGAGGGAGAGGGGTTGCCCAGAAGGTAGGCGTTCCCAGGCTATGTCTAACACAGCAACATTATGTCTAGACTACCTAGTTTTGTCGACAAAAGTGGACTTTTGTTGACAAAACTATACCAGCGTCTACACTACCGCTGAATTCTGTCGACATAACGTCGACAGAACTCAGCAATTTTGTCGACGCTGGTATACCTCATTTTACGAGGCATAACACCTTCTGTCGACAGAAGGTGTTATTGCCTGTAACGTTGCGTCCAGACTACGGAGTTCTGTCGACAAAGCAGCTTGCTTTGTCGACAGAACTCAATATGTCTGGACGCTCTTTGTCGACGGAAGTTTTGTCGACAGTATGTGTCGACAAAACTTCCGTCGACAAAGCGCGGTAGTCTAGACGTACCCACAGTCTGCAGCGATGCAGCTGGCAGTTATTTCGACATACAGTCCAAATCATGTCGAGCTGGAGGGCCACTTGCTGCAACCCGTGACCCTCATTGTAGAAGGAGCAAGGGAAGCGGGAGGCAGAGGGCTCTGGTTTGAAATACCTGCTGTGCAGACAGCACCAACACTTGAATGAAGCTACTCAAGGGCAGTAGCTCCCCTGGCGGGTTAGTTCC